GTATAATACAAGTCAAATATAGGGCAAAAGGNTAAAAAAAACATTACCACAAAAAAATACGAAATTATAAAGTCAAAATCCGAAATTGTTTGAAAGTCGGACCCCGGGCCCAACGCTCGAAAATACCAACAAAAGGCAAAAAAAACCCGAAAGCCCATTCACTCACGAGTCTAGTCATACTAAATTCATCAAAATCTTATACCAAATGACTATTCAAATCCCCGAAATGAACTCTCCAAATCCCTAGCCTCAAACCCCCAAATCACACCTCAAAAACACACCAATAAGGTGGGAAAATCAATGGGGAAACATAATTGTTGAAGAAATTTAACCACATGTGACTTACCTCAAGAATTCCTTCGAATATCTCTCAACAATCTCCAAAACCGAGCTAAAGATGTTAGAAATGGTAAAAATCTCGAAACCCTCATTTTTGAATCTTTTCATACTGCCCAGTGATGCCTTCACCTCGAACGTGACCAACCCGTCGCGTTCGCGTAGAACACTCTGACTGCCCCTCAAATTAACCCTTCGTGAATGCGACCACCAACTCGCGAACGCGAAGCTTTGCTGACCTTACTCATCGCGAACGCGACCTCACCCTTGTGAACGCATAAACCAAAAGTATGGGGTCCCCATTTACCTTCTCACTTCTTCGCGAACGCGTCACCCTCCTCGTGTTCGCGATNACTTAAGCACATAAGAGTGGTTTAGAGAGAGCTTTCATCAAGAGAGAAGAGAGAAGAAAAGTATTTATTTTGCTGCAGATTTTTATTCGGACCAGCCAACTTCAAATCACGTTTTCCGATTCGTTAACCGTTGGATCGGGCTGAAATTTTGACTGAGTGTTCGTAACATCTTGGTCTTGGATTTGAACGATGAAGATCGGATTTGGAGGCTCGTAGAATCTGATTTCGAGCCTCGAACAGCAGCTTCGTTTTGTGGATTATACTCCTTCTTCAATTGATTAATTGTTGCTCTTGTTGCTATTGTTGCTCCGTGTTTGGCCTTGTTGTGTAGCCAAATTGGAGAACTTTTGTAACCCTCTTATTGTTATAGTGGAGCTTTTTGGATCTTTGTGATCCCGTGGTTTTTATCTTCGATTTGAAGAGTTTTCCACGTTAAAATTTGGTGTTCTTTATCTTCTTTATTTTCGGGTTTGCCTCTTCCTCGACATAACAGTGGTATCAGAGCCGTAGGGGGCTTGAGTTGTTGGGCTAAACTAGCCCAAAGACACTCTTAACATGGTGTGATATTGTCCGTTTTGGGCCAAGCCCGCACGGTTTTTCCCAAAAGGCCTCACACCATTAAGAGATCCCTACACCTTATATGTAGACTCCCAATCTTTTTAGCTACCAATGTGGGACTTTGTTCGCACACCCAACATTGGCCTCCAGTCATAAAGAATGCCTACTTATCACAGACCAATGGTTAATGAACCTTACTTGTTCTACATATTATAATTAAAGTAGGATCTATATTTATCCACATATTTTAATTATGATTGGCCTTATATTTTGTTTACAACTTGGGTCAAGGCACTAGCATTTTCAAGTAATAACCGATTAACATAAGTCCAAATTCCAACGTAATTTACCAAAAACGAGGTGAAAAAAAGTAGTTAGAGCAGCTAATGGAGTGCTTCATAAAGTACCTGAAGCTTGGATTCAAGAAAGGCAAGAATGGTTCCAGGAATAATGCCTCTGATTCCACCTCCATCAATGCTCAAAACTGTTATAAAATTCTTTCCTTTGGTAGCTGCAGCACAAACATATATTGGAGGTTGTAGAACTTGAATGGTCACTAACAGAGTTAGTGAAACTAAGAAATTTAACCTCCCCATAATGTACGTTCAAAGTTCTATAGCGGAGTGGAAGTTCAGGATATGTTTCTTATAATTGAAAGATATAAAGAGAGTTAGAAAATAAAAAGTAAATGGCATGTTCTTTGGTTGTGCAGTTTTCAATGAAACTTGTCTCTTGTTTGGACTTTGATTTTAGTATCATGTTTTGTCGTACGTCTTGATTTTAAATATCTTCCATACCCGTGATTTACTCTTCATTGGCTTCACGTGACAAAGTTTTTCTCTTTTTTCAAAATGGTTAACTTCATCCTCAGACAGTTCAGTGACAGGATGGGAAGTCTTTCGTCAAAGGAGATGGTAGGCTTGATCGAAACTAATACTTATCACTAATTTTAGAATCAAGCAGTTTAATTTGACTATACTCTCTTTAATTTCCTTTCAAGAAAGATGGAAGCAGACTATATACTCAAATATAATAATAAGATTGTGTGTCGGATCTCATATTTTGGCCGAGTTTATTACCTTAGTCCCTTATTTTAGGTGGCTAAAAAATAGGAGAGAAAGAAGTTGGACCTCTAATCAACCTAGACACATTACTTGTCGGCGTTAAATTAAAAGGGCAACATTTCGTATTTTCTTAGTCATTTACTTATTTAATGTTTTGGTAACTCTAAGTCGTTTATTTGATATTTTGCTGTATTCACCATTACTCCACAGATCAAGATCAAATTAATTGGTGAGTTTCATCTCAAAGATGTACTTTAATTGATTATAGGTCTATTATACCGACAATGATTCTTGTTTGAAGCACGATATCTATATCCATTTGCTGTTTGGACTGAATAATTACATACTAATTAAAGACATCACTAGACCAAACTACATAAGACAGACAGAAGAATGACAAGTTGGAATCTGGAGGGGTCTAATTCTTCATGACATGACACGTTTACACTGGCCTTTTTATTTTAATCAAAAGCCAACAAGACACCAATTTATGCACTCCCGTGAACATAAAGCTTATCTCCTTGTCCATATAACTTTATATATATATATATATATATATATATATATATACTACCACTAGTCTGTAGTCAGTGCTAGTGTAGAGGAGGTACGGTAATTTAAAGTTTAGTAACTTCGTTTGTTAGTTTAGT